GTAGGGTGGGGTTTGGGTGAGGTGCGGTGGGGTTAGGAGGGTTAGAACCATCAATTTTGTGAACAGAACACCAAAGGTACTACAAATTGAACGAGTGTCATCCCTTGAGACTGGATGTAAAAATGAGTGGAACGTTACCGTAGTTTGTAGGATTTCAAAAACAACCATACTATGGGTACACGAAAAAGTGTACTCTAGATTGTAGCCCAAAGAGATGCACCAACATTTTTCCAAATCACACTGACTCAAAATGTTTGTACAGTAAAAAAAAGGGCACTAACGTTTTGTGTCGTTTTAAAACATCACATTAGCATAAAATATTGGTGTATGTTTTTGAGGTACAAAGTGGGGTATACTCTTTGATGTACAAATATCATTTCCCCTTCAAAATATTACTATAAAGTTGTATTATAAAGCATTTTGTTTTTTTAAGAACAAGTTGTTTTCAAAAACACATACATTTTGTGTAAAAAATAAATTCTTTCTTACTTCTGGTACAACCAGCAGTACGTACTCTCATACTTCTCTCTATTTTTATTTTTAGTTGTTCATGAACAGAGTAAGAACTCCCAAGCTAGTAATTACACCGTGTAAAGTTGCTGCCTTTGGCGACCCTCAAAGCAATAGGGGATGAAGAAGAAAATGGCTCTTGCCTGGGTGCAGCTATAGTAGGGAGAGATTGAGAGAAGAATTGTCAGTGAGATCCTAAATTCGAGTTCTAGGTACAGCTTTTCTAGAAGCATAGCGATATTGCTAACTGTCAAATCAAGACCTGAGTCCCCCCCCCCCTCCCAAATAAGATGAGATTATGGACTTTTTGCAGAGCATTTTCATCTCACCCAGCAATGAATGCCAGCCCAGTCTCAGCTTTCAATTTCAATCGCTTACTCCAGCTTTCCAGCTACTTCAAAGCATTGCGCGTTGGAAAACAGACCCATCTTCAGATTGTTATGCATGGTTTTTCTGAGGATTCCTTTGTTATCACTAAATTAATCCAAATGTACCTTGATTGCGACGATATTAGTTCTGCACGCCACCTGTTCGTTGAATTGCCACCCCAGAACGTGTTCGCCTGGACTGCTTTAATTTCATTCTTTTCCCGCAATGGGTTGTTTTATGAGTGTCTCAGTACGTATCACGAGATGAAACACAAGGGTGTTTTGCCCGATGAGTTTGTGTTTCCGAGGGTGTTGAGGGCGTGTTCGTTGCATTCCTGCTTGGAATTTGGGGTTAAGGTTCACAAAGACGTGATTGTGGGTGGTTATGAGGGCAATGTTCATGTAGGTAATTCGTTGGTTGATATGTACTCTAAATGTGGTGACATCAGGGGTGGTAGATTAGTTTTTGATTTGATGATGGAGAGGGATTTGTTCTCTTGGAATTCGATTATTTCTGGATATGTTTGCAACAATTTGCTTTGTTTGGCAGTGGAGACGTTGAATTTGATGAGAATGGAAGGTTTCGAGCCTGATATAGTGACTTATAACACTTTAATGGATGCTTATTGCCGCATGGGTCTTTGTGATGAAGCTCGGGAAATATTTAAACAGATCAAGAACCCCAGTGTAGTCTCATGGACAACTTTGGTATCAGGTTATTCCAGAATAGGAAACCATGATGTGGCTCTTCAGATTTTTAGGAATATGATTAGTCAAGACAATGTTTATGCTGACGTAGATTGTCTTTCAAGCGCCCTTTCTTCCTGCCAACACATGGGGGCTTTAAGGAATGGACAAGAAATTCATGCATATGGAATTAAGGTGGGACCACTGTATGAGTTTTATCAATCAGCTGGACCCGCCCTCTTATCTGTGTACACCAAGTGTGGAAAGTTTGACTACGCGAGGCACGTATTTGACGTGGTGGATAAATCCGATGTTGTTGTCTGGAACGCAACGATTCGTGGGTTTGCTCAACAAGGGGAAGGGGACTTGGCAGTGGATTGTTTCAGAAGGATGCAAAACATGAGAGTTAAAAATGACCCGACAACAATATCAACTCTCTTGCCTCTCTGTGACTTGAAATATGGAAAACAAATTCATGCCTATGTTTACAGAGGATGTTTTTGTGATGCCGTGCCCGTTTGGAATGCACTTATTTACATGTATGCAAAATGTGGAGGAATTGAACTCGCATACACTGTGTTTTCTCATATGGGTTATAGAGACTTAGTATCCTGGAATACAATGATTGGGGGATTCGGAATGCACGGTTACGGAAAATCTTCTTTAAATCTCTTCCATGAGATGAAATCTTCTGGCATTTACCCCAATTCATTGACATTCACTTCTGTGCTATCAGCATGTGGTCATTCTGGTCTTCTTGATGAAGGGCTAGAAGTTTTCCAGAAAATGACACAAGATTACAAACTAAGTCCTAGAATGGAACACTACACTTGTATTGTTGATTTACTAACAAGGGCTGGTAGGCTTGACGAAGCTATTGACTTTATCATGGAAATGCCCATAAAACCAGAGAAGCAAATCTGGGGTTCTCTATTGGCCGCTGCTTTAGCAAACCAAGAATTAGAAATTGGAGTTTTAGCTTCGGAAAATCTAGTCAAATTGGAGCCTGAAAATGCTGGACATTATGTGACTTTGTCGAATTTGTATACTAAATCTGGAAGATCAGATGATGCTTTTGCGCTGAGAAGACAAATGGAAAACATGGGACTGGTAAAGCAATTTGGATGGAGCTTGTTATAGTCTTTTTGTCACACGTGCTACATTATGCAATAATCCTTAATTATGAATAGAAGACTCCTTTTTGATTCAAGCATGGGTGGCCGAACTCATCGTCTATCACAAGAGACCCAAGTATTGGCAATCTTTTGGCTTGTCACTCATAGGCTAGCCACACTTGTACACATTTCCACTGCAGGACAAAATTCCATGTAGACTCTGTGTACACTGCCTAATGGGGAAGAGCATAAGTACTTCAAAATTTCTTTGACTTTCCTATAATTGTCCTCATTCTTAGCTTGACCAATTACACTTGTGGAAGGATTGTCTTGAATAATCCTCTTGTCTTGCTCCATCATCATGGCCGAATTCAGCGACATTATCAAAGTGGGTTCATCCATCGTATCTCATTTTCAATCCAAAGGTTGGATTCAACCCATCATTTATTACTCCTCATCAGCAATTAATGCCATTTCATACTTTCTTTTTTATTTCACGTCTTGCTCTCCCATCTCTCTTGAAGCAGGTCTCCTAGAGCCCTTGCCGGCAAGGACAAACAAGGGCTCTAAAGCACCCTGACACTCCTGAAGCAGCTCCTGTGCAAACCAGGGGCTCTCCTCCTGGAGCTTTGAAGCTTAACAGCGTCGGCGTATTAGGGGCTCTCCTCCGTGCTCTCTAAACTTTACCTGCTATGACAAACCAGCGGTAATTTTTTAGGTATCTGGCAACAATTAGTTTCCATTTAATTTTGAATTTTTCTAGGTATTTAGCAGTTATTAGTTTCCACTGATTATGCATCTAGCAATAATAATTTTAACCACTTGATATTTTTAAGGCATTGGAAACAGTCTCTCTACTTTTAGTGGGGGTAAGGTCTGCGTACACACACCCTCCCTAGACCATGTGGGATTCTACTGGGTTGTTGTTGTTGAAAAAGGACGTCGTGCGGCAATGGTGTGTTCTGCAGTTCCATGGCAGCACTTCGAAGATCCAAGCAACAAATCTTTCCTAACACAGGTATACCCTGCGGCGTTTAAACTTTGGATTCGCTCTTTTTAATATTCTTTGCGTAAAATTACTATTTTATTAATTGCATCAAAGTTCAAATAGGCAGTAGTGTAGACGTGCAGTTCCTCACTAAATTGTAATTTCTACGTTGTTTTTTCTATTTAGTACTCCCTGATCAATTCGCTACAAGCCTACACCAGTTGTTTTGATTTTGCAAACTGGAGTAAGTCAATGATAATTAGCCAAGATTAATTTCTTAAATACCTCATTTATAACACGGGAGATTTCAACCTATAATTCACTTTGTGAAAGTATCATATTTGTGGTGATCTATATGACTATATTTTAGAATTATTCCACGACAACTCTTTTGAGCAGCAGTGGCGGAGCCGGGATGTAGTTTTTGAGGGGGCACTGGGGGTAAACTACGGGAGTGCATGGGCTGCCCCCGGATTTCTTTAAGACATTGTGAAATGATAATTTTTTTTGCAAACAATCAATTAAATAATTCTAATACGAAGTAAAACTATACCTCTGATTTTAATAAACAGAAACTATCACAATTCTACTTCATACATGATAAGTGAGGTAAGTATATCTTAATAAACAGAAGGTGATAAGTGAGGTAAGTATATGATTGTTTTTTAACCCTAGCCCAAAAGTACGTAGTTTTGGTTAGGTCATTGAAAAAAAATACTCGAATAGAACTCTCAGATTCTCATATTTGTGACCCTTGGACAGACGGGAGGACGATTCTACTTCATACATCTCCTGCTGGGGGGTACTCCACCGAAGCCGCGCCGGGGGCACGT